TCCCTAATATTTTATATTTTATTTCTTGCCATAATTATATATCAAAAACATAATTTTTCACCAAGCCCTATACAGATACCTTCAGATCCCCTCACTTGCCCCAGTATGCCATTCAAACAGTATCATTTTCTAGGTTTGCCATAATGGGAAAAATAATGGGAAAAAACTGAAGCACTGCTCCAGGATCTCAGTATCTGTCTCTCTTAACCTCCCTCTCTCTCTCTCTCTCTCCCTCTCTCCACTCAGTCCCCTCCGTAACATAACACTGAAATGGGTAACATAGAAAATAGAGTCCTTGGGGTCACACAAGCCACAAGAAATTGGAACTATCTCATTGATGATGGCAACAGAGAGATTCTAAACTGAAGAACAATGGAGCCAAAGCAGCCCATGATCATGCTTTCACGTGCTGTTCTTTTTCAGTGGTTTTCTCTGTCTTCCCTCCCATGTGGCACTCAGGGATACCTCCTGAGCTGGGGAGCAAGATTTCCTAATAATCAAGGATCAGCCTTATCCCTGAAAGGCTTAGTGGGCCAATGGGGCTCAGGATAGAAGAAATACGGAGTGGCTGCCTTAGGCCTTCTCTGCTTTTGACTATAATGTCAAAACCAGAGTGCAGGCTAAGGAAATGGGGCTGAGTGTCCGGCCACCTGACTTTTTTCTTTTTTCCTGATCAGCTTTTTAAGTCCTAAAGGAAAGAGCCAAGAGAGCCCTCAAGGCCTATAATGCATCCAACCTGACTGGCCAAGGTAGAGCACCAGTTAGGGGTTAGGGTCCAAAACTCAAGCCAGCAACAGAGAGTGTGAGCTAGAGAATCTGTGCTCATGTGTCTTGAGGGCCCTGCAGAGGAGGCTGCTGCCACAGTTGTCAGCTGGGAAAAAATCATGGTCTTGGTCAGAGAAGCACCATCTGTCCTAAGCTTCAACCCTAAATATTCAATTGTCTACTGTGCACTTGCAGGCAGGTATCCTACAGACAGCTAGCTCAGTATGTCTGACACTGAACTTATTGTGCCCACCTACCTTTAAATAAAATCTATTTTTCTCTTGTGTTCCCTCAGTTGGACATTAGACCTATTCACCCAGTTACTCTGACAAGAGTATTGAGAGTCACCACTTTTTCACCTATATGTAACTCATATTCCCCCTTTCACCTGGATTTCTGGAACAGTCTCCTTGCTAGTCTCTCTACCTCGATCCTCTTCCCATTCCAATTCACCTTCAACCTTGTCTAGAAAGTCACTTTCCTAAATTGCAGATCTGACCATTTTATTACTTACTTAAAATGCTTCAATGGATGCCTGGAAGATAAAATCCAAATTCTCTTCTATGGTGTAAAAGGCTTTTCATTTCTTTAGCTGCCTACCTGTCTGTCTCCTCTTTTACCAATTTGTTGATGACCTGCCAAATCTGAGTGTTCTCTTCTGTACTGCTCCCTCAGGCGGAAAGCCCAGTTCTTAAAGCCCACCTGAGCACTGCCTGCCCATCCCGTAATATGGTTCAGATTGCATCTGACACACCCTGATAGAATTACTTACCCCTCCTTTGTATCTTCATGGTACCATAGAGATCAGTGATTCTCAACCAGGTGCAATTTTGCTTCTAAGGGACACTTGGCAACATCTGGAGACACTTTTGGTCATGCCAACTGGGGGTGGAGTGCTACTGGCATTTGGTGGGCAGGGGCCAGGGATGCTGCTGGAAGGTCCTACAATGACAGGACAGCCCCCAAGAACAGAATTATCTGTTCCAAAACGCCAATAGTGCTGAGGTGGAGAAACACTGATGTAGATCCTTCTGTCATAACATATGCACTTTATCACACCTGTTTACATGTGTTTCTCCCTGTTAGGCCGTAAGTTCCTCAAAAGCATGCACCGTATTACCTTTGAATCCTCAGAGGTGAAACATGCTAAACACATAGCACTCACATAGTAGGTGCTCACTAGTATACTCAAACATATAGTAGGTGCTCACTAAATATCTGTGTGGTGCACTGGCGAGAGAAAACTAAGTCAGGCTTATCTCACCACTGCACCCAACAGAATGACAACTGCATCTCTAGGCCAAGAAGATGGAAACATAGGATGCCTGAGGTCAGTATAGTTAGGGGAAGTGGGTCTTCCAGAGATACCTGCAGTTAGGACCAACTGCTCAGCCTATTAAGGTCAAAATCTCCATCTTTTCAAATCCTCTGTCCCTTTACAACCACCACCACCGCCTCCCAATAAATGGCTACCAAATTCTTTTGATCCTCTGCCTCAGAAATATTTCCTGAATGCAGACCATCCCATTGCCACAGCCTCAGATCTGGCTCTCATCAGCATCACTTCCCTAGACCACATTGTACCCTCCTGGTTGTGCCCTTCTCTACAAATTGGCAAAGTTAAATTTAAATCAAATTTAACAACGCCAGATTGAGAAAGTCAAATTTAAGTCGCTATAGTTCCTGCCCTAAAATAAGATTTGCAATTGTTTTGCAATGTGATAATGAATTCCAGCTTTTCCATTAAATAATTTATGTAAGTCAATATTCATCTCATATTAACACAAAATATCAAAACACTAAAGGGGAGTAAGTATAATAATTTAGAAAGTCTTGAAATCTTACAAGACTTTTTTTTGTCTTGGAAACAAACTCAAAAGTCAACAACTTTAATTGGTCCTCCCTTCTGGTAACCTTCCACAGATGTTAATCTCCTAACAAATCCAAACAAGGAGTAAAGTATTTAGGTGTTTAAAATGTGTACATATAATATTATCAACAGAGGGATGACCAACACTTTCAATTAAAAAGGAATCTAAAAGAAAATACCATTCTATGAGTTAGATGGAGGTCAGCCAGCTAGACTCATAATACTACCTCAGCACTTCCTAACTCCTCCACCTTTCAGAGATGCTGTGTTAACCTTTTACCACGGAACATGATGCACTTTATCAGATACTGTCATTGTCATTCATAATCTGACATGTATTATAAACTGGTGCTTGTGTTATTGTTGCGTAGGGATACAGAAAACAAAGTGATGATTCTGTCACTTGTCAGTGGTCCCACAGCAAAGGAGGCTGAGAACATGCACCCAGCCTGGGCTCCAACACCAAGTAGGGCCTTTTCTCATCAGTTTTTCTCCTATGAGAATCCCCGCTATCTTACTGAGAGACAATGTACAGTTTTGACAGTATCATTCAGCCAGATATCGTGCTGATTCTTGGAGTATAAACTGAAGTACGATTTTAATCTAAGAGGCTATTATAGCTGGGACTCTAGACCAAACTAATTTGTAACAGAACCAAAGGCTGAGAAAAAAAAATCAATAAATGCTACAGTCTCATGCTTATTTGAACAGGGAAATCTTTACAGGCTGATAAAAAAGCTATCTTTGTTTCACAGCAACTATTAATTTGAATGACTACTAAATGATCATGATACTTTTCCTTCTATGAGCCAAATGCAGCACTAACTTTTTCTCAGTGTAGTGCTCTAGGCAGGGACTATTAATTAAGGCAGGCACTTGGGAGGAAACATTTGGTTCCTTTAATGTACCCCGTACAATAAACAGGTACAGAGAATTAAAAACAAATCTATTTCCTTTGTCACTGTTTGTAAAATTGTAACATTTCCAGAGTATCTTTCCTGGCTTTAGTGTATTTGCATATCCTCATGGGTGGAGAGAAGTTCATCTCCATATCAGTGGGTAATTACCTGGGCGAGGAGGGCTTATCTGTACTGGAGAGGTGAGGGGAGTGCCGGTTTTTGCTTTTTCCAGAGCAGAGGAGAAAGGAAGAAAGACGGCCTGGGACCGCAGTTTGTGAGCAATAAATGGGTTTTAAACTTTATTTCTCCTTTTGACTGATTTTGGTTTTTGAGGTATTTTGCCCTGGGATTTACTCTCCCTGGATTTACAGTCACTAATCTTTTAATTACTTTAGTCCCAGCGGACTAACTTGGAATATATGGGAAAAAGTAGTGGAATGGATTTCCCAAACCCATTTGATTCTTTAATACGGATTTTAAGAGGGAAAAAAGATGTTGTGTGAACTCCATAAATATTGAAAAATAAAAACAACTGAACATTATTTTTACCATCATGTAATCTGAGCTATTTGAGTAGAACTGTAAATCTTGAGTTTGAAAGGTTATCTAGACCAACCTCTTCTTCAGTGAGAAGCAAATTGTTAACAGGGAGTAAAAAAGAGATAAATTGAATGTTTTTAAGTTCCTCAGAAGCAAGTGTGGCCGCTGAACCTTGAAAAAGCAAAACTCCTGCCTTCATGAAGGAAGCATGGGGACAGGGTCTAGCCAAGGACAAAAGTGTCCATTTCTAAAGTTACACCAGGTCCCTTCCCTTCTATAATACCTCAAGAAGCATTTACATCATCCATTGGCTTAAGCATTAGTGAAACTAGTAATAAAATAATTAAATATAAATACTAGAGAATGAGTGTGTGTGTGAAAAAGAGGAAAGAGGTCTAAAAGTTTTCCTTCCCCCTTTAAAAATGTAAATCCTCCCAGGAGCGGTCAGCTAACGCCATTACCTGAGGTTAAGCTTTAGCAGAAAGAACAGGGTCAGGATATAAAATAATTCTGGGGAGAGGGGAAAGGCACCCTTAGGAAGACTCCCTAGGGGACGAAGGGGGAGCTTGGGGAGAAGTTTGTAATTTTACCTAAAGTTACTATTCGACGAAGCTTTCTGTTCCCTTAAGCCGTCTAGCATTACACGAGGACCGTCTACCCTATTTCTTGAGATGCTTACAAATCAAAAGCAAGGCGTCATAATCCTCAGCGATCGGCGGGCCTCCGTGGTACTGCAGGTAAGTGAATCCTCTTTACAGCTCAGATCTCCGTCGGCGGACGCACATTTTCAACACCGAGAACTGGCACGGTGAGGGGGTCGGCGGGCCCCGTCCAGAGCTCCTGGGGAAAAGCCGCGGCGCCTCGCGGTCACGGGGGGCGGAGCCCCGCCCCGGGCCCGCCCCCGCCGCCCGCGCTCATTAGGGTCCCCGACGCTCCGCAGCCCGCTGGCGATTCTGCGGGGACGCTCCGCCGAGCGAGGATGGAGAAGCGGGGTCGGAGCTCCTCCAGAGAGGCCCAGGCCCGAGACGGCGGGTCCCCGCCCAAGGAGAGCAAGAAGGCGAAGGCCGAGAGGGGCGGCCGAGGCCGGGGGCGCCGGGAGGCCGGGCGCGAGCGGCCGGGCCTCGGGCGGGGAGGGGCCGCGGGGGAGCCCCGAGCGGCGACAACCACCGTGGTGGACGTGGACGAGGTCCGGGGCTCCGGCGAGGAGGGCACCGAGGTGGTGGCGCTGCTGGAGAGCGAGCGGCCCGAGGAAGGTACAGCCGGCAGGTGGGGACCAGGGGAGCGAGTGGCCTTTCCAAGTGGTGCCCAAGCGAGCTCAGTGGAATGAGTCACCCCACTGAGAGCCACCGAGGGCCAGACTAGCCGAGACCTGCTCGATGCCAGGAAATGAACCCACCGACCCCCAGTGGTGGAGACCAAAGTTCATCAGAAGAAATACAGATAACACCAACTAAATAGCGTTGGTGTCAGGGGCCAGCCATGGATGGAAGATAGCAGGGAGTGGGGTCCAGGCTAGGGCCAACGAACATGGCAAAGAAAGGTGGAGGCTGCACAGCCAAGCAGAGAAGAGCCAGACCTGAGTAATCCCAGCTCGGCCACGTGGTAGCCCTGTGATAGTAGGCAGAATCCTAACCATCTGTGAAAGGGTACAACAGCAAGACTGCCACAGAGGGCAGTTGTGAGGATAAAAGGAGATGAGGCTACTGTGCACACTCACTGTGCACAACGCCTGGAGCAAAGAACGTGCTTAGAACAGAATCCTTGCCAGCAAAGAGAGAGGAAAGTTAGGGGAAAGGAGAGAATCATAGGGAAAGTAGTGGAATGGGTTTCCCAAATAGGCGAAGCAACTATTAGGATCAAATTTATCTGCTTCCAACCCTTTTTATATGAATGGGGAAAAAATTCATTACACCTTAAGTGTAGGATGAGGGAAGTATAAAGGAAAGTAAATAAGGAAGAGTGTGTTACATTGCTTTCTGTGGCTATGAAAATGTAACATTTCCTGGTTACCAGCAATGTAGTATAAGCTGGAGCATCGGAAGCTGTGATTTGAGAACAATTCCTATGGATCATGTTAGCCATGTTTGCCTAGGTGATGCCCTTTCATCAGTCAGAAACTTCTGGCCATTTAGGTTGTTGAATAAAACGCTATAGCAATGCTAAGATTAGAAGTCTCATGCTCCAGACCACATCAAAGGGGTAGGCAAGGAAGGGAGCCCCCATTTACGGAGCCCCTACTATGTGCCAGGCACACACTAGGTGTTTACCTGATTATTATCATTCCCATACCACAGATGAGGAAAAATGCTCAGAAATTTAAGTAACTTGCCTAAGACCTACAGCTAGGAAGTTGGAGAAGCCAGAATTCCAAAGTAAGGCAGTCTTTCTGAGAATCCCATCCTTCCATGGTGCTGCCCCTTGATTTCTGGTTGTGGTCCCGGCACTGCCACCACACACTGTGTGGCCTTAGGTAAGTAGCTTCACCTCTGGGCTTCATTCAGTCTCCCTGGCTATAAAGCTATTAGAGCCCAAGACCCCAAACAATAGATGGTAAGTCCCACTGAGGGTGAGGCAGTCTTGCTAAGCCCCTGCCTGGGAGGTTTCAGTGGCCCCCAGGGGAGAAGGGGAGCCACAGGCAGCAATATCCCCTCCTCTTCCTCATCACAGCAACACACTCCCACAGCCAGGCTACTTAAGACTTGGGAGATGCAAAAAGGAGCTTCACTTTACCAAAATGCTGGCGATTCTCAGACTTACGTCGTATCTACATGCTCTTCCTATTTTAACATTTATTGTTTCACTGTTCACTTTAACCAAACAAATTGGATAGTCAGAGAACTCATTCCCAGAGAATAATAATATTTTGTGAATGAAGCTTCAGGTTAGGTCTTGGTATAGATATTACCTTTCTGTTCACATCCCTAACTACTGTACAAAGGAATTTTGAGTTTTCTTCACTTACAAATGTAATTTTTTCTGTATATGCATTTATTTACTTGTCATGGTTACCACTGACAAGTGAAATGAATTTATAAACTCGTTAAACATAGCAATAACACTATTGTTGCCTTTTAGGAAGAAATTTTTAAAACTAACATGATATTGATAGAGCAGAATTTCCCAAAGGAGACTGAAAGAGAAAGAAATCCCATACACTAATTTCCTTGGAGAAAACATTGCTGGGCCAAATATTTGGGAAATACTGGTTAAGCAAACCTATGAATGCTTCTTTACTGCAGGGGTTCCCCTGGCTCCAATACTGGGGAGTCCAGGAGCAGGTTATAGTACGCAGTACTTCCTAAACTTGTTTGCCCAGGGAACCTCTTGCTCTGTGGACCATCTTGTGTAATTAGTGTTCCATGGGACACCCTTTGGGAACTGCCATTCTATGGCATTTAGTATCCAAGTACAGCTTGCATATCTGCCCTATTCAAGTGATTGTCACATCAATTTAATGACCTTTCCAGTTATTTCCCAGGCATGGAAATCAAATTTTCAGGCATACCAATTAGTTATCTACTCCTCCCCATCCCTTAAAAATAGGCTTTTCACTATACCTAATCTTTAGTCACCTTGTAGTCCTCCATGAGATTTTAAAACTGACAAATCGTATCCCTTTGGCTGGTTTTTTTAGTATCTGAAGATTAAAATTCTTGAGGTTTCCCAAGTATCACATTTCAATCATTTTCACTATCGACTTCTTTTGCTTTCCTACATTCAACCAATATTTATAGAGAACCTATATTGTGTCAGGCACTAATCTAGGCCCTGGGGACACAATGTAAACAAGTCCACCAGGAGCTTATGTTCTTCAGATCAACTTTCCCTGGAACTGTTCCATTTATCACCCAAGCAACCTGGGTGTTCTGCACCCCCTTTCCTTATCACCTGTTTCGACACACCAATGGGCTAATATTACCCTATACAGGTGATTATCAAAGACTGTCTAGAGATCCACACCTAATCTAAAGAAGGGGCCTCTAACAGAAGAATTTTGGACATTGGGGCAGGTAGCAGATGGGGAAGTAATGTTAGGGAAGATGAACCTCTGGATACATATTTTGAATGACTTCCGATAACACCACTTGATAGTTTAGTGCTTTTTGTGTGTATTTGTTATTTCATCCTTAAATTAACGATATGAGAAATATGTCATGAGATTATTAGAAGATCCTTAGCTTCCCCATTGTATGGATGAGAAAACTGAGGTTCAGAGAGGTCATGTGCCTTGCTTAAATTCATTTGAGAGAAAATGGTGGAGCCAGAACAGGAACCCAGACCTTCTGCTCAGATTCTGTGCTTGTTCCATTTTCCCCAGTACTGCCTTTCCAGGAGCCTGCTCCACCTTCCTTAGTCCCAGATGACCCTTCACACCGATGGTGCCCAGGCCTGTGGACTGACCACTCTGACATACAGGTCATTCTACTATTTCCAGAAGTCTACAAACTGCTCTGACCCTATTACCAAGGACTTGACCAGCAGGTGCTAGTCAGTGAATATAATGAAATTCCAATATAATTATTCTCTTGCTTTTTTTTTTTTAAGGTACCAAGTCTTCCAGTTTAGGGGTCTGTGAGTGGCTTCTTGTCCTCACATCCCTGCTCTTTGTCATCGTGACCTTCCCTTTTTCTATCTGGTTCTGCATAAAGGTGAGATTCCATGATGCCCCATTTCCTGATGCCTCTTGCTGACAACATGTCCACTCTTCTGTTTTGGCACATGCTGTCTGCTCTGCATGGAATGCTCCCCCTGCTCACCTTTCAGGGGAGCTCTTACTCCCTTAAGACTTTGCTCAAATGTAACTGTGAACCTCTCCTTGACTCCCACATTCATTCCGTTCCTTGTGCACTAGTGTCATTCTGCCGTCACATCCCTTCTAGCACTTAATCTCATATAATATTTGTTGATACCCAATCTCTCCCTCTAGACTGAGAGCCTGTTCAGGACGGGGGCTACATCTAGGTCCTGCATCCTTTAACACTAAGACCAGCCCAGAATAGATCATGATGAGCACTTCTGACACTTCCAGGAAACTCCTCAGACAGCCCCTGCAGACCACGAATGACAGTTTTCTTTGGCCCACAGGTACTTACATATGCCTGTCCTTGAAGTAAATGAAGACCTGCGTCAGTTCCGGAAGCACATGCCAAGACAAAATTAGAATTGCAAGTAATTTATGGGGAAGCTCTGTCTGAAAGATTCAGGGAAGAGAGAACAAGAGTAGGCAAGGAGAGCCTTCAGACCGTGATGCAGGTCCTGATACCTGTGCTATGTGAAGGGAGAGGATTAGACAGAAAGAGTCTCAGACCGTGGTGCAGCTCCAAGAAAGCGTTGGCCAGCCTGGGATTTCTGGAACAAAGTTTGCTTCACAGAGGAGCTTCATAAGCTGCAGAAATGGCCAGGCCCCAGTGCTCCAGCACTGTGCATCATTGGCTGGAATAGCACAGGTGCTGCTGGGGCCACTGCCTGACTGCATTCATGCGGGCTCTTCCTCTTCTTCCACTCCCTCCTTGTCTTCTTCTTCATGAAAGGGTGTTGGATTATGTCCAGTGCCTTTTCTATGTCTATTGAGATGATCATGTGGTATTTGCCCTTTATACCATTGATATGGCTTATTACATTCACTGAATAGCCTGTGGACTGACCACTCTGACATACAGGTCATTCTACTATTTCCAGAAGTCTACAAACTGCTCTGACCCTATTACCAAGGACTTGACCAGCAGGTGCTAGTCAGTGAATATAATGAAATTCCAATATAATTATTCTCTTGCTTTTTTTTTTTTAAGGTACCAAGTCTTCCAGTTTAGGGGTCTGTGAGTGGCTTCTTGTCCTCACATCCCTGCTCTTTGTCATCGTGACCTTCCCTTTTTCTATCTGGTTCTGCATAAAGGTGAGATTCCATGATGCCCCATTTCCTGATGCCTCTTGCTGACAACATGTCCACTCTTCTGTTTTGGCACATGCTGTCTGCTCTGCATGGAATGCTCCCCCTGCTCACCTTTCAGGGGAGCTCTTACTCCCTTAAGACTTTGCTCAAATGTAACTGTGAACCTCTCCTTGACTCCCACATTCATTCCGTTCCTTGTGCACTAGTGTCATTCTGCCGTCACATCCCTTCTAGCACTTAATCTCATATAATATTTGTTGATACCCAATCTCTCCCTCTAGACTGAGAGCCTGTTCAGGACGGGGGCTACATCTAGGTCCTGCATCCTTTAACACTAAGACCAGCCCAGAATAGATCATGATGAGCACTTCTGACACTTCCAGGAAACTCCTCAGGCAGCCCCTGCAGACCACGAATGACAGTTTTCTTTGGCCCACAGGTACTTACATATGCCTGTCCTTGAAGTAAATGAAGACCTGCGTCAGTTCGGGAAGCACATGCCAAGACAAAATTAGAATTGCAAGTAATTTATGGGGAAGCTCTGTCTGAAAGATTCAGGGAAGAGAGAACAAGAGTAGGCAAGGAGAGCCTTCAGACCGTGATGCAGGTCCTGATACCTGTGCTATGTGAAGGGAGAGGATTAGACAGAAAGAGTCTCAGACCGTGGTGCAGCTCCAAGAAAGCGTTGGCCAGCCTGGGATTTCTGGAACAAAGTTTGCTTCACAGAGGAGCTTCATAAGCTGCAGAAATGGCCAGGCCCCAGTGCTCCAGCACTGTGCATCATTGGCTGGAATAGCACAGGTGCTGCTGGGGCCACTGCCTGACTGCATTCATGCGGGCTCTTCCTCTTCTTCCACTCCCTCCTTTTCTTCTTCATGAAAGGGTGTTGGATTATGTCCAGTGCCTTTTCTATGTCTATTGAGATGATCATGTGGTATTTGCCCTTTATACCATTGATATGGCTTATTACATTCACTGAATTTTGGATGTTTTTGTTATGGTATATAATCTTTTTTATATGTTATTGGATTCAGGTTGCTGGTAGGTTGTTGAGGATTTTTTCATCTATATTCATAAGAGGTGTTGGTCTGAAGTTTTTCTATGATATCTCTGTCTTGTTTTGGCATCAGGCTAATACTGGCCTCAGAGAATGGGTTGGGAAGATTTCCCTCCTCTTCTGTTTTTGGGGAGAATTTGTGAAGAACTGGTATTCTTTAAATGTTTGGGAGAATTCACTAGTGAAGCGATGTAGTCCTGGGATTTTCTTTGTAGGAAATACTATAATTACTAATTCAGTCTTTCACTCCTAGGTCTTTTCAGTTTTTCTTTCTCAGGTCAGTTTTGGTAGTTCGTATTTGTGTAGAAATTTGTCCATTTTATCTAAGCTATCTGACTTTGGGTGTATAGTTGTTCATAGTATTTTGTCTCATGATCTTTTTTAATTTCTGTAGGGACAGTAGTGATGCCCCTGTCGTTCCTTTTTCATTCCTGATTTTGGAAAGTTGAGTCTTCTCCTTTTTTATTCTTGCTCAGTCTAGCTAAATATTTGTCAGATTTGTTGAGCTTTTCAAAGAGCCCACTTCTGGTTTAGTTGATGTTCTCTATTTTTAAAATATTTTTTATATTTTCTATTGCATTTATTTCCATGCTGATTTTTATTATTTTCTTATTTTCACTTGAATTAGGTTTAATTTGCTCCTCTATTTCTAGTGTCTTAATATAGAAGATTAGGGTATTTTTTGAGATATCTCTTTTTTATTATAGGCATTTATAGCTATAAATTTTCCTCTAAGCATGGCTTTACTTGCATCCCATATGTTTTGGTACCTTGTGTTCATTCATCTCAAAATATTTTCTGATTTCCCTTTTGGTATCTTCTTTGACTCACTAGTTATTTTAAAGTATGTTATTTCATTTCCATATACTTGTGAGTTTCCCAATTTCCTTCTGTTGTTGATTTCTGACTTCATTTCATTGTAATCAGAGAGTATACTTTGTGTGATTTCAATTATTTCCAATTTATTGAGGTTTATCTTATGGCCTAATATATGGCTACCCTAAAGATGTTTTATGTGTGCCTGAGAAGAATGTGCATTCTGTTGCTGGGTGGAATTATGTGTAAATGTCCATTAGGTCTGGTCTGTTTATAGTGTTGTCCAAGTCACCTGTTAACTTGTTGATCTGTCTGGTTGTTCTATCCATGATTGAAAGTGGGATATTAAATATCCAACTGCTATTATTGAATTATCTATTTCTGCCTTCGGTTCTTTTGGTTTCTCTTGTATTTTAGATCTCTGTTTTTAGATGCATATATGTTTATTATACTTTCCTAATGCATTGACTCTTTGATCATTATAAAAGGTTCCTCTTTATCACTAGTAACATTTTTGTGTGTTTTACACTCCATTTTGTCTGATATCACTATAGCTGCTCTTGCTTTTTTTGTTTACTCATTGTACTATTTCTTTTCCCATCCTTTTACTTTCTATTTATTTGTATCTTTGAATCAAAAGTGTGTCTTCTATAGACAGTACATAGTTGATAGGCAGGCTCTTCATGAAGGGTGATCTGAGCACCTGTATGGCTGCCATAAGGTCCAACACTGACTCAGGCACAGTTTGTGGAGAAGGTCTCAGGTCTGGACACTTAAGATAGTAAGCCCTAAGAAGCCAAACAGGTAAAAGACCCTAAAGCAGAACTAGGTGTTTCATTTGAGCAAAGTCTCAAAAGAGTAATACTCCTCATCATCTCTGGAAAGAATTTGTTTCTTCCAAAAAAAGCAGAAAAGAACAAATAATGCTAGGGAACCAAGAAACGGACTGGCTGAGGCATGCTCCAGAAACCAAACCAGTCATTTGCTCTCATTCATTATTTCAACAAACAAGGCAGTGTTCAGGCACAGGAGTTGCAAACTAATAAAGATGGACAAGACATGCTTCTTGACCTGAGGGACTTACAGTGAGGTCGTGGAGCCTGTTACCTTAAGAAGCACATTTCAAAATGTATTACTTTTGGTCTCTTCATTTTCATTTTCATATTTGACTGATTATTCAGTGGAGTTTTCTAAAGTGAAGGGAGGATAAAGAAGAAAAAACAGACTTGTCCACAGTAACAAAAAAATTCATTCATTCAACAAGTACTTATTGAACATTTACATGCATAAGGCAATTTTTTTTAGGCACTGAATAAAAAAGATTAATTCCTTACCAGCACCAGTTCACAGACTTGTGGGGCATATATACAAATAAACAGAAAAAATAATCTAATGAAAAACAAGCAATAGAACCTAGATTTCTGATACTGATCCAGAAAGCAGTTTATTTTTAAAGTACTATCCAGTAACTTCCCTGTCTCTCTTCCAATATACAGACATTTCTACACAGAGAATCCCCTTTTTTTGTCATTTACAAATAGCTCTACACATTTTCAGGGCACCCTCAACTTTTCTAGATGTATCACCAATGAGAATTGGCAAATTAAAATCCAGTTGGATCATTTTGAAGAAGCCTCAAAAGAATTCACGGTTTGAAACAAGATATCACAAGTGGTATTAAAATATTGTCCTTTTTTCTGTTAAAGAGTTAATGAGTGATACATACAAAGCTAATAATGCAGAAGTCACAGCAAAATACGAGATGAAACATGCTGTGATTTCTTTGATTTAGGGGATGTTAGGCATAGTGAAGGCAGTATTTTTCAGATACTCATGACTTCAATCAAAATTCTGTCCATGGATTCAAAAATTAAGCCCATTGATTTTTCCATTGGTTTCTGAAATTCTGCACTTAATAATTGTGAATTTTGGAAATGTAAGTAGCTAACAGAAATTTTTCTTGGTTCTCAAATCAAAAGATTTCTAATACCTAGAATCACTCTCATGCCAAGTCTTTTTGAAGACTTTATTTTGCTTTATCAGAGTGTTTCAAAAGTATTAAATTTCCCTTTAGGTTGTACAGGAGTATGAGAGAGTAATTATATTCCGACTAGGACATCTGCTTCCTGGAAGAGCCAAGGGCCCTGGTAAGAAACACCTTTTTTACTCCCATAGACTTGCTGCTTTCTTTGATCCATGCACAGTGTAATATAGATCTCAGATTACATCAAGTACCTTGATTCATGATACCTACTTTTTCCAGTTTGTTAGTTCTAATACAGGTTATTAAGACATGCTTCAAAGAGCATTATTACCAGTGACCAAGAAGGATGGGTGCAGAGAACCAAATGCCAGAGTCAGGCTGGCTAGAGTAGCAAATAGGCTTAGTGCCCTGGATGGGCACTGGTTTGAGCAGAATATGTGTGTATGGTTAGAATCCTGCAAATTCTCAGAACAAAGCTGAGCTAGTTCAGAGTCCAAAGAGTCAGACCAAACCATGGAGGTAGGTAAAGTTCACATGCAAGTAACAAATTATCCTTTGGTTGGTAGAATTTAAGAACCACAGATTGAACACTCCTGGGTTTCAGATACCATATAACACCAGGAATATGAAAATGGATGAATGAAACATGGTTTTGATCTCTAGGACCTTAAAGTCTAGTGGAATTGATGTCCAGAGGTCCAAGCTGGTTACGGGGCACAGATAGAAGTATGGTTAGTCGGAAAAGTCTAGTAGCTGGGGTTTGAAGATCTAAGCTGGCCAGGAAGGTAGGAGAAGGTGTATGTATTGGAAAGGGTCCAAGTTCCAAGCCAGGTCTACAGAAATAGGTAGAGAAGAGAGACCAGACAAGAAGATAGAAATCAGAGTTTCAAGATTAAGAACTAACAGATGGATCCACACAAAAGCAGAACCACCCCTGAGGTTCCAGTACAAGAGCCATTTTGTTCTTATTCTAGTTTTGAGCATCTGTCTTGACTGGGTCAAGAAAGGGCGAGTAGCTGAGCTGCTCCTTAGAGAGAGCCTGGACTCTATGGGGTTCCAGCAAAGTTCTTGGCTCCTGCAAGAGCCCACAGTGTCCAATCAGAAAAAAATCTAAAACTGGTTTGCACATTGAACATGTACATTACATTGGGTAGATGAGGACTAACTAGCCAACCAGAAAGCTGATATCATGATACTGCTCTTCTGATGAGCGCTGGGGCTCACATTTTAAGAAATACAACATGGAGTTTTCTGGCTTTAAAGTTGGTTACCTTGGTACACACGCAGATTCAAAAACAGTTCTATAGAACACCTAAAAGGCATTAAGTCAGCTGCTTAAGCTAACAATAGTGCATAAGACATTCTAGTTAAAGAGTTAAAATCTAGAGAAGGAGACAGACATGTAACCTAACATCTGGAGGAGTCAGCACCATGAGCAAAGTGACATGCAGCCCAATTGCTGGGGATATTCCTTGTTTATGCCTCTTGTCCTGGAGTAAGTTGTAACAGTGCTGTCCTTCCACCCTCAAAAATGTCCCAGATTGAACAACAAACTGTATGGTAACCTTAGGAACAACACACACACTCTAAGGGTGGAGTCAGGATTGCCCAGTGATCTGCATGCCATTGGAGGCTAAGAAGAGCAATGTACTGTGTACCCTGATGCTGAAAAGATGAACCCCAAAAAGTTTCCATGCAGGACATTCACTGGCCACTCCCCCCTTCTAGGCCTTTTCTTCTTTTTGCCCTGCCTGGATACCTACCATAAGGTTGACCTTCGTCTCCAGACCTTGGAGATACCCTTTCATGAGGTAAGCCAAATGACGGGTTTTTGCTTTCTCTACATTTTACATGGCTGAGCCACCATTTCTGGTCCAGGGCAAAATGACTAAGCTAGAAAGTAGAGATACGGACTGCATTAAAATTAAAACCTCCTGTGTGTCAAAGGATACAATCAACAGAATGAACAGGCAGCCTATGGAATGGAAGAAAATATTTACAAATACCCAGAATATATAAAGAAATATTACAACATACCAAGAAACCCAATTAAAAAGGAGCAAAGGACTTTGTGATGGTTAATCTTATGTGTCACCATGGCCAAGCTCGGGTACCCAATATTTGGCTAAACATATCTAAATGTTGCTGTGAACGTATTTTTTAGAAAAGATTAATATTTAAGTCAGTAGACTTGGAGTAAAGCAGATGACCCCTGACTCATAATATGGGTGGGCCTCATCCAATCAGTTGAAGGCCTTCAGGAACGTAACTAGCCTCTTCCTGATGGGGAGGAAACTCTCAGACTTAAGCTGCAACATCAACTCTTCCTTGTCTTCAGCCTGGTGGCGTACCCTGAAGATTTTGGAATTGTCAGCCTCTACAATAGTGTAAGCCACTTCTTTAAAGTCGCCTTCTCTCTCTACACATAACACACATGCTAATGACTCCATTTCTCTGGAGTGCCCTGACTAATATAGACTTGAGTAGACATTTCTCCAAAGAAGATACACATATGGCCAAAAAAGAGCACAGGAACAGACGTTCAACATCACTAATCGGGGGGAGAAATGCAAATCAAACCCACGATGAGAATATCACCTCACACCTATTAGGATGTCTACTCTGAAGATGAAAACAAAACCCAGAAAATAACAAGTGTTGACAAAGATGTAGAGAAATTAGAATCCTTGTATACTGTTGGTGGGAATGTAAAATGGTGCAGCTGATATGGAAAACAGTATATAGCATTCCTGAAAAAATTAAAAATTGCCATTTGATCCAGCAATTCCACTTCTGGGTATACACCTAAAGAATTGAAAGCAAAGTTTTGAAGAGATATTTGTATACCTATATTCATAGCAGCATTATTCACAGTAGCCCAAAGATGGAAGGAACCCAAGCATCCATCAGTGGCTGAATGGATAAACAAAATACCTACATTTGTGCCATTATACCATTGTATATATTGCACCGTTGTACTATATACCTACAATATATTATTCTTCAGCATTAAAAAGAAAGGAAATTCTGACATATGCTACATTATGGGTGAAACTTGAGAACATTATGCTAAGTGGAATAAAACAGTCACAAGAAGACAAATCTAAGTGGATGATTCCATTTACATGAGGTGCCTGGAGTCATGAAATTCACAGAGACAGGAAGGTGAATGGTGGGGCTGGGGGAGGAATGGAGAGGTATTTAATGAGCTCCAGTTTTTCAAGATGAAAAAAGTTCTAAAGATTGTTTGCATAACAATGTGAATGCACTGAACACTACTGAACTGTACACTTAAAACCAGTGAAGATGGTAAATTTGATGTTGTATTTTACCATAATGAAAAATTAACAATAGAGCTGACATCTAGATTTTTCTATTAGTAATTTAGATTTATAAGCCCTTCCTAAATTATCTCCCACTTTCAATTTGAAGTACTTTCTCATTCTTTCTTTTGATAAATAGAAGTTAAACAAATTATATTTTTAAAAGGCTTACTTTAGATAACAAAATGCAAAAAAGGAAGAGATAAAATTTATCCCAATTCCTACTACCTACAGATAGATGCCGGTATTTTGCAGTCTATGCTTTCAGAGTTTTCTACATATGAGGGTATAGTTACAAACAGGTATATATATATTATTCCATATATATTATCTTGTAGTGTGTTTTTTCACCCAACAATCTGTTGTGGTCATCTTTTCTTACATTAGCTACGTTTCTACACCTTTATTTTAAATGGACATATAGCATCTCACTGTGTGGACTTTATTACAATAAGCAATATTGTGAATAATATCCTTGCAGTTAAATCCTCATAACATGCCCTTGTGACAGTGTCTAAAAATGGAAATGTTGAAAACACATTTTTTTTTAATACAAGAGAACAAATCTACACTCTGTTTACTTTTCAATAAGTTTAAATCCTTGAGGGGTACAGCATCACATGGAGTCCTGTGTCCAATGGCCTTAGCAGGAAAGTTACTTTGGAATTTGGCACGAACCGTGCCACCATTTCCACAAGCACGAGTTAACCTTCCCCATATTACTCTGGTTTTGTTTGGTTTGCCACCAGAGTCACTTGTGTTGCTCTTTGCTTTGTACACATAATCACATCTCTTACCTAGATAAAATTCAGTTCCATCTTGAGCATAAACACGTTCAATCTTAAGAAAAGCTCTGTGCTCCCTCTGGTTCTGAGGACCCCACTTCTACAGCCAGCAAAAATGGCCTCAGACCACAACCTAACCTCCCAAACTTTTTGTTTTAGAAATCCTGAGAGCATGCGTCTTTGAAGGCTTTTGATATGTATCACCAGTTGGCCCTCTTGTGTACATCCTGCAGGCAATACATTAGAGTATTTGTTTTCCAGAACTTGCTTCTCTTTTAGCACATTTGGCATCAGTTTTAAAAGGCCTGATCTATAATTAACTGCATTATTTTCACACAAGAAAATTATTCCTGGTTTGTTTTTTTAACAAAAGTATTGACAACAGGATTCCTTTACATTGTGAGTTCTTTGGTATTCTTTGTAAAAACTCCATCAAAAACATGTCTATTTTGAATAAAGGGTGCCCCAGCTGCTGTTTTTTGTTTTGTTTTGTTTTGTTCTTGCTACAGTCTTAGTCAAGAAAATTTCCTCTGAATACATTTAGTTCTTTTATCCTTACCTGGTAGAGGGGCCCAAGAATCAGGCCTGTCATCCAAACTTTTTTTCTTCCTAGATTGTGACCAAAGACATGTTTATAATGGAGATAGACGCCATCTGCTACTACCGAATGGAAAATGCTCCTCTTCTCCTAAGCAGTCTTGCTCATGTGTCCAAAGCTGTCCAGTTCCTTGTGCAAACCACCACGAAGCGTCTCCTAGCACATCGATCTCTCACTGAAATCCTTCTGGAGAGGAAGAGCATTGCCCAAGATGTAAAGGTACTTAGATACATGTAACACTGAGTATGTCAAAATATCTCTTCATCTTTTAGTCATTCTTCACTGGCCATTTATTGAGCTTTCCACGTGCCAGGCATTCATTGAGGCCATCCTTTAAGAAGCGATAGCTTAAGGCAGAGGTGGCCAAACTGACCCAAACTGGTTAGTCAGTCATTGCCACAGTTTTTGCTCTCCACCTGACTCCAGTGGCTTCAGACTTACTGTTAAGTGCTCACAAAGCACAAAGTGGTGGAAGCAGGAGCTGGCAGGGATGGTGGTGACAACAGCAGAGCTGATGCTATACGTAGGTGATAAGGAATGGTTCCTGGGAGCTCAGAGTCTAGTTGGAAAGACAAGTTAAATAGTAAGTCCAAGTAAGACTTTCAGATAAAAAGAGGTAAGATATTACAGACCCTTAATGATTAATTCTCCAATCAGTCGTCTGGATTTGATTGATTTGGAATTAGGCGAGGGAGAGAAAAGCAAGAACTGCCCCTGAAGCTGCCTCATGCAGCCTACCCCCAAGTTGCAGGCAGCGAGCTCAGCAGCCTTGCCCACAGCCAGAGTAGGCTCTTCAGCTGTTACCAAGATGACGGCAGATGTACAGGAAGAGGGTGAGGACAGAGGAGGACTCTAGGCAGCTGGCTAGTCAAGTGGCAGTTACCCCCGTGATGCACCCTGTCCAGAACTGAGTTAAGAGGTTACAGATCTTGTTTCCTGAAAGGAGGGCCTCCAGAAGGAGCAGCTAACAATTGAAGGCGTCAGGAATGATTGTGCTTGATGGAGCCTGAGTGGCTACTAATCTGAAAAAAGGAGGCAGCCAAATGTTTTTGCTGTACCAGCTTGTTACCCATAAAACTGGGATTAGCATCCCGGTGGAAAGGGAAGAATTTGGGAAACAACAGAAGCCAAAAAGCTCAGCAGGGCTGGTTCCTTCCGGAGGTTCTGAGGAGAGAAAGAATCCGTTTCCTTGCCTTTTTCAGCAGCCAGCGGAGGCCACTCTCCAGCTGGCCACCCTTCCTCGTTTCCGGAGCCCGTCCCTGCGACCCCTGCTTCCAGGCCCCATCTCTCTCCTCTTCTGGAGGCCGAGCTCTCTGCTTCCCCCTCAGAAGGCGCTTATGATTGCATTTAGGGCCCACCTGGAAGATGCCGGACAATCTCCCCATTTTAACATCCTTTAACTGAACCACACCCGCAAAGTCTCTTTGGGGAACTATTCACAGGTTCCACAGATAAGGACGTGGGTGATTTGAAGCCATTATTCAGCCTTGCACCCCATCTTCAATTCCACAAATATTTATCGAATCACTGTGCAAGTTGACAGCTTTCTATAAGGCACTGTAATGTTAAAACAAGGAAGTAATGTCCTTTCAGAAGAAATGTGTTTCTCAGACAGAACAACAGAAGGGTGCTCTGCTCCTACCTGCAGGGCCTTCCTGACCTCTCAACGATTCCCTCCGCAGGTTGCCTTGGATTCAGTGACCTGTATATGGGGAATTAAAGTGGAGAGAACAGAAATGTGAGTAGGAAATTAACCTGGAGGACAGTATGATGGGAAATATTTTGGTTTTATATAAAATTTTTTATTTGAAAAATTATTTTCACTGAATGAGTACCATAGCCACATTAGCATAAATTTGGAAAAAAGTCACCTAATACTCATAGCCATAACACAACCACTCTAGCATTTGGGAAAATTATTTTCATGGTTTTCTAAGGATTGAAACAAAAATTTTTTTAGATAAAATTTACATAATGATTTTAACCATTTTAAAACATAACTCATGGATTTTTAGTATATCCATAGACTGTGCAACCATCACTACCATCTAATTGCATACTTTTTATCACCCCAGAAAGAAAGCCTGCACCCATTAAGCAGGAACCCCTTCACCCCCCACCCAACAACCACTAATCCAGCTGCCTCTCTGGATCTGGCTATCCGGGACAGTTTCCTATAAATGCAGTAATATGTATGTGGCCTTCTGTGTCTGGCTTCTTTCACTTAGCATATTGTCTGCAAGGTTCATCCATGGTGACACATGTCAGTACTTCATTCCTTTTTATGGTCGAATAATAATTCATCATGTGGCTATCCCACATTTTGTTTATCTACTCATCAGTTGATGGATATTTGGCCTGTTGCCACTTTGGGGCTATTGTGAAAAATGCTGCAATGAACATTCACGTGCACGTTTTTGTGTGAACATGTTTCACTTCTCTTGGGTGTATACATAGAAGGAGAATTACTGGATCATCTAATAACTCTACATTTAATTTTCTGAGGAACTGCCAAATTGTTTTCTATGTATTTTTCATAGTTACAATGAGGGTAAAAATATAATTTCGTATCTTTTATGTAATACATTCAGTGCTCTTTTTGGTCAGTTCTACCCTTTTCAAAATCAATTCTTTTCTATACACTTGGGTGACTTCCCTTATTATTAACAGTAAGGCTCTTCAAGTTGGTTTTTCATGCTTCAAATGTAATAGCTGGGATTTAGATTATAAAACAAGTGGGAAAGAGCATAACAGTCTGTCAATACAAAATTTGTTGTACTTGAAAAGAGAAAACCAGAGCTGTACTCAGCTCTATTAAGTGATAATAAAAATCTGCGTTTGAGGCACCGACCCTTGAGATGTTCCTCTCTACCCACCATCTGCCCCAGAGGTCTAGGGACAGCACACTGGTAAGTCAGAATTCCATCATGAAACTGCATTAAAGAAGGGGGCACTTCCGTATGAAAACCCTGGCCACTGGGTTCTCTCTTTCAGTAAGGACGTGCGGCTGCCAGCCGGGCTCCAGCACTCGCTGGCTGTGGAAGCCGAAGCTCAGAGGCAGGCCAAAGTGCGGGTGAGCCAGCCCTGAGCGGGTGTCCTCCCACCGACGCTCTGAAGGCCTGCTCACGCTGAACACCTGCCCTTTGCTTCCTCACCTCCGATTCAACCAGGCGCTGGGAAGAATCGGGCCTGTTCCCTCCCCCCCCCTCCCCATTACAGCTGTTGTCTTGAAGTATGTCAGCAGCCTCATGCACGCCCACCTCTCCTCCTGCTGCACCCTCAGCAGCCCTTGGTAATGGTGACCATCCTCCTCCTCGAGTCTTGCCTTTGCTCCTTCTCCTCACAGGCATCTCCCCACACCTCAGCCCTCTCCTCTCATGCTGGCATCTTTCCTTAAGAAGTATCAGTCACCTGTCACCCCTAGATTAATGACACTCTGACCTGTGTCCCTAGCTCTGTGCGAGTGCTGGAGGGCCAGCCATGACCAGGGCCGACTTTCTCAATGCCAGAGCCACGGGTAGGCTGTGCCCCTCAGTCCTCATTTCCCTCTTCTGGCTGCCAGCAGCTGAGGACTGAGGAGTGGGTGGCCTGGGGTGTTGGGAAGAGGGAAATGAGGACTGAGGGAGGCAGATTTCTCTTAACAGAAAGTAGTTGAAGAAAAACCTCTAACAATGTAGGAGGTCATTGACTTTGGAGCAGTGGACAGGAGGTAGAGGAGAGAGGGGAGGAAGGTGGTCTCCTGGACAGAATTGCCTCTAGATCTCTGAGTCTAGTCCTCTTTGCCCACTTTATTGACACCACACTCTAACCAGCAGCTAACTGGCCTCCCCTTTGCCCACTTTGAAATGGCATTTGGGGGCTGTTTCTTCTGAAATGCTTACCCATTCGTTTTGCCCCAGCTGGGAGTCACTCTTTCAGGCTTCCGTGTCTTTGCCTAGAACACTGGCCAATCTCTATCTGGCAAAATTCTACTAATCTTTCAAGGCCCACCAGAGGTAATTAATAACTCTCCTAACATTTGACTGTACTTGTCAGGGTCCTTAACAAATTCTGCCCTAAATTACAATTAAGAGCTTAATCTCTTCCCCCCTAGATCAAGATCTTTGAGAAAGAAGACAGCCTATTCTGTGCTTAACAATGCCTGTCACATACATAGTAGATTCTCAGAGCTAGTTTGATGAGTCACATGAACAGTGATTAAAACCTTTGTGGGACGAAGAAGAGAAATCACTCTGCTTTTCTTCATATCTGTCCTCCAGATGATCGCTGCAGAAGGGGAGAAGGCTGCCTCGGAGTCCCTCCGGATGGCAGCTGAGATTCTGTCAGGCACTCCAGCTGCTGTTCAGCTTCGATACCTCCACACCCTTCAATCCTTGTCCACAGAGAAACCTTCCACGGTGGTTTTACCTTTGCCATTTGACTTGATAAATTTCCTGTCTTCTCCTACCAGTAGAACTCAGGGAAGCATCCCCTTCCCAAATCCTCCCAAACCTGTGGAGCCACTGAATCCGAAAAAGAAAGATTCTCCCATGTTGTAGGAGGAGCCAAGGATAACACAACAGAAAGGGGCTGCCACATGCCCACCATATCCCAGAGAGAGGCGCTCTGCCCTTCCTGCCCTTTCTTTGGTTGCCATATGGAATGCCCTTGGAATGCATGATGTCACAATGCAGCAACCTAAAGGAGTAGGCAGGGAGATGATGTAATACAGAGTAACCATATCACAAGTTTAGGTGAATCGTCTAATCAAGAGTTATTATGGAAAAGAGCTTTAGCGAACATTGTAAGAAGAATATTGAGTCTATATTTGACTAAATCTTGACTTCTAAAGATGTAGGTCAAATGGTCTTTTTGCTGTATGCCCACTGGTCCCTTTGGCCAGGTCTTGCTGCTCCCACGCCGCTATCTCTAGGCCCCTATCACTGTGCTTATCACACTCCATTGTCATCCCATACTTAAGATGCAGGCTCCTTTCCACACTCCTATGAAATCCTCAAAGGCACATTTTGGTCATTTCCCCAGACGCAATTGAGCCTTGTATCTCCACCCCACATTCCTCACATCTAACCCCAGAATAGTTGAACCACAGTGACTGAAAGGACAAAAGGTGTATTGAGCTGGATATAAAATATATACCTGATTAAAGAATTTTAAAGGAATTCTTCCTATGGAGACTCCTTCTTAAAATAGAGAAAAAGAACAAAAACATCTATCTGATACATGTTGCTTAAAATCTGAGAAAGTGTCACTAAAAATAGGCTGATATATTTTTAGTATAGAATTTACCAAATTGCTTGGTTTTCAAACGATAATATAATGTGGTCTATACATGCCCTGAAGTATTCTTGTCTAGTACAGATATTCCTTAATACAAATACATTTCTATGAGAATGTCTTACTCTCTAGTGCCTGGCCTTATACAGTTGGATATACGTATCTACAGGAAAAAATACAGCCAAATAAATAAAATAGCATACCAAGTCCTCTACAAACTTTAAAAAAAATCAATGATATTATAAAACATTACTAACATAAAAATAATGCTAAAATTATGATGTTAGTAAAATGGTACTTATAATGGGAATTTCCGTGTTGCTGGTACAAAGAGAATGGTGAATACCATCCCCAGTACCATACTATTTTGTGATTTCTCTCTCCTTCAAACTGCCTTTATTCTGCATGTTATCCCATGTAATGATTTTATATTGGAGATGTGAGAACTTTGCATAAGAACACCCATAAAGGGTTTTTGTTTATCAATGTTAGCCCACAAACCCTGATAACATTATTTCAGAGAGAAAATGTATTCTGAGCTCCTAGCAATGGACCTAGAAACTTTCATAGCCTTTTGTCTGCTGGAGACAGGCTTTCTCACTATGTTAAATAAGAGAAACAAGGCCCCAAATCAAGGATGTTTTGTTTATCCTGGCAGTCTCTTCAGCATTCCTTCCCTCTTTGCCATCTCTCCAGACCTCTAAAGACAAAACAATGAAAAAGCAAGAGCTCCCTAGCAGTACACAGTGACCCTGGCCTCAGGGTATCTCTGCCATACATCTCTACGCCACCTCCTCACCTTCATCCACAGCTGGGAAAACCACACATTCCATCCCAGCCTTGTTACCCTAGGTCTTCAGCCAAGCAATGCATCTTCCCAAGATTATGCAGGACTGTTAGATGATTTCAAAACCTACATATTCATCCAACCATGCCAAACTCATTTACTGATAAAACAATCTGCCTGTACAGTTACTGTGTATTGAGACAATTTCAATTTTGTTTCAAAAGGCTATTTTCATCCAGTTCTGAAAAATATTTCCATACCTTACTTTTTAAAGTCTCTCCAGTCCCTACTTGACCATATTCGGTTGTGGGGCAGCGGCAGTGCTGAAGGCCAGGGGTTGAGTAGTCTCTGCTGGAGGTAATGGGAGATCTGGAAGCCAAAGGATCAGGCAAAGCTCTAAACCATGCAGAAGTGCCAAAATACAAAATGTGGAATCCAAAAGGCTGTCAAATCCAAGTACGCCAAAAGCAGGTAACAAAATCTGCCAGAGCCAGGTGCGTGGTTCCAGAGAGGGAAAAGCAAGGTCTGATGAGGCAGCAGAGGATAGAAGGAGAACTGGGGGGATTCCTCAGTGATTTCCTAGAATGTCCAATCCATCAGGGCTCGAAGTTTGCTTCTGTGGACCAGCCAGAGCACAGTCACAGAAGGCCAAGCCCACTTAGAGGACCAGGGGCCAATCAGAGCATCCCTGGAGGAGGAGGTGTTTCATTACCACTGTGCTGGCCCAATCCATCTCCGTGTACTGGTCCTTGACGTAAACATGGCATCAAGGTTGCTAGTCACTTTTCACCCTACATAGATGATTCCTGAACTCAGCTTGGCAAATACTAGCACGAGCAATTGAGAGGCAGAATCATGCTGGTTTAGGCATAACCAAGCCAGGAACAGAACAATGAGATGTGAACACCAGGGTAATGATGTAATAATGGCTTTTATGACCTTTAATAATTCGTTGTACCACGGGTTCTTTTTGTCAAAGGCAAATTTTGCCTATATATCTGGGGGATGCCTGTTATTTCCCACTGGTTGGTCTCCTCTGATGTCTGGCTTTAGTCAACATTTAAATGTCTCATTACCTGGCCAGAGGGCACCTTCCAGGGCTGCTTGAGTGGCCTATGGTATCTTCAAGTATGAACCAGCTGTTGTGGTGGGAGGGCTTGATAGGAGGGAAATTACAGGGATAAGTTGCTATGAAACTGTGTTCTGGGTGCAAGGGTATGGCGAATAGTCAAAGGCAAATTCTTCAGAGACTAGCAAGATGAGATGACAGTGCTATCTGCAAGGTCCCAGCAGTCGTCTTCTCTTGAGACCCAGTTGCTGCATTCCAACTGGTTACTGATATTGAAATGATGGGTGCAAGACAAACTAAGCAATACAATCCAAAACCAGGATATTTCTTTGGGGACACTTTTTCTCTGGAAATGTACTTTAATAGAGTGACAGTATCTTAGTTCAGGCTGCTATAACAAAATGCCATAGACAAGGTGACTTACAAACAACAGAAATTTCTTAGTTCTAGAGGCTGAGAAGTCCAAGGTCAAGATGCCAGCAGATTTGGCACCTGGGGAGGGCCTACTTCCTCATTCATAGGCAGCCATCTTCTTGCTGTGTCCTCACATGTTATAAGGGGGAAGGGAGCTCTCTGGGGTCCCTTTTACAGGACCACTAATCCCATTCCTGAGGCCCTACGTCATGACCTAATTACTTACCAAAGGCTCCACCTACTGACACCATCACACTGGATGCTAGGATTTCAACATACGGATTTGGGGGCTGATGTGGGGGTGGGGGCGGTGGGGGACAGTGCATGAGCAGGGACATGTGGAGTCAATTACCAGCAATGAGCTGATAAAAGGGAGTATTCTACTTTGGTGTTGGAGTTCACCATGACCAAAACGACATGGCCATGAGAGTGGGACAAGTGGGACAAAATTCTTTGACATCAGTACTCCAGGGCACTGGGGACTACAGTGACTCTTTGGTCCACCTAGACCTGCATTTACTGTGCTGGCATGTAACTTAAGAGCTGGTATAACTGTGGGTTGTTGGACTTGTAATCACCAGGAAGAGAACGTCCTAAGGCAGCATTGCAAACCCTCCTTAGAACTCCAAGGGCCACCCTGGCTCACCAGTATAGAACAGTCGAAAGTAGGGCTAAAGCTTGGCAATTTGGACTCCCCTGTATCTGGGAGGCCCAGCAGGTCATTCTTCCCAAGGCTCTGCATCCTGTATCCTGGGGGCTGTGTCTGGATGGCCAAGAAAGTATGCTCCTCAGTAGATTGCTCCTGGCCACTGCAATCTTCTTTGGCAGAGTCTGTTGGGACTATGAGGGTTCTGATGTCCTCTAGAATTTTGGTGTGTGTGCCAGTGCATTACTCAGTAGGTTAGCTGAGTAATAAGTAGAAGCTGTGGAAGCCAAATCCTTCGAAAGAGGGGTCATCAGTTGCACTGCCAACTTTTTCTGAGCTTGGAAAGGCAACATTGCACAGCAACTGAGAGCTTGGGCTCTGCTATCAGACATACCAGATTTGATTCAGACTCTGTCCCTCACTAGATTTTTAACCTTGTTCAGATATGAATGGAGACAAAACCCACCTGGTAGAGTTATGAGTAAATGAGATAATAGGTGTGAAGTGCTTAGCACAGTGCCTGCACAAGGTAAATGCTCAATAAATGGTGGTTATTACTGTTTTTCTGGTTTTACCCCAAAAGTTCTAAATGATAAAGATCAAACTGCATCTAAACATGAGCTGGGGCCCCTACATAGGTTGCCCCATGCTTCAAAGGCAGCCTTGTTGGCCAGGAGCTGCTGCCGCAGGGTGGCTGTTCTTAGAACTGGCTTAAAAACTTGCACATGGGGTGCCCTGTGTTAGAATCCCATCCTATTTCAAGCATTTGTTTCGAAGGTAAACAGCTCCTTGGGATGACAGCAAAGCAAAAGCAAGACCGAAGAGAGGAGTTTCTTCTCATGGGGAGCAAGAGTTACAGACAGAAATCAAACAAGCTCCTCTTTCTTGCTTAGGTTTTACTATTGGGTAGCATGAGTGGAAAATGGGGGGTAGGGGGGTGGATTACCAGTTGTACCTTGCAAACTCCAGAATCTGTTGGACATCTGTTGGTACCTTGTTTGCCAACAAGCAGTTTTCCTTGACAGGACAGATCATGGGAACTGTTAATCTTACCTTCAGACTTCTGAAAGTGTTTCTCCTGGTTAGCTTCGAGGCAGCCTAAAGTATGCCTCTGCCAGAGGCTCATGGGGCCTAAGCCCTGCATATACAAGAGAATATTCTCCAAAAAAACAAGCCATTGCAATCCAGAAAGTTGTGCAGGAGCCCTATCATCAGTCACTCAGGAAAAGCAGGAACATTGCTGTATCCTGGGATTGCTTAGGGAACCTCTGGAAAGCTGTCTTCGCCAGTCTTGCCCTTAGATGCACCATCTTAGACTAGTTGCACCATCCGGGAACTATTGCTTCTTGAAAACCTGTATTCTGTGGAGTTCATCTCGAAGTCAGGAGGATTAGTGGACTTGTTCAGCAATCCTGAACCAGAGATTGTCTTGAGGCTATAGTAGACCAGGCTAGAATGCTCTCCAGTTTTCTGAGGCAGAGACAAAAGTCCTGATGAACTTGAGGCACTGCTTCCTATCAGTAAGGCTACAGGGGACCTCGGCCTCAGGCTCAGATTGCAAGCCCTCCCGAGGTGCAGTGTGCAGGCCCAGACAACAAGGCTATGGCAGTTATGCTCTTAACTTGGGAGAAGCTCTTCTGCTTCCGGGGGGCAAATACTTGCTGGTAGGACTTCCACACTTCTTTGGAATTTCAGAGGTGGAAGACAGCACACCAGAGCCTTGGGGCCTGCGAGCAGAATTCCTAGCAGTGAAATACAAAGTGGAGGTTGCCCAGGTAATACCTGAGTCATGCCAAGAACATGAGGAAAGCCTAGTCAATATGGGCCATGAAGCACCTGACAAGTCACCTGACCACGGTCAAATCAGTAGGACCACAGTGCAGCACCGGATTTCTCGCAAGAGTCTCATATGGTGCCCACGAGCATGGAGTAGGCTGGGTGTGAGGTGAAGGGTCAAGCCTGTGGAGGAGGGGCTTGCTCACCCTTCCTAAGGTCCCTGAGCACACTGTGGCGTGCACCTTAGAACATTACACCTTGGCTCCCCTGGGACATGGGATACATCTCCACTGAGATCGGGGCTGGGGCACAGAGGGCTATCAGGCGGCCACCCAGTTTCCACTCCCAGAGAGCCTGGCCAGCTTTCTGGAGGTGAGGCAGCACAGAGCTCTGTCTGAGCACAGAGTGGCTGGTCTCCTTTGGCATAAGCACAACAGCCTCCCCCAGCAGCCCAACTGCCAGAGACGTGCCGCAAGCGCCCCTTCTCCATGGCGCTGGACAGGCCCCCTCAGGGTCACCCCAAGGTGTAGCAGCACCTCGAGGACAAGTCAGTTACTGGGGAAAGTGAGCTGCCTGTGCCAACTCTGAGAAAGCAGCAGGGCAGATGCCTTCCCCATAGCACATTTTTTAACCACCTGACATGCATTATGCCCTCCCATCAACGCCCTGATTTTCCTCAGGGCATTTCCCTTCCCCACACTGCGTTCCATCTTGGTGAAGAGTGCAGCAAGGTGTCCTTCCCTTTAAGGAAGATCGAGGGATCCTTGAAGTCTTCTCACCATCCCTGGTATATCATGGGGTGGTTTGTGACCACCAAGTAGCCTTCCTTCCCCTTGGGACTTTAAGACTTTGGCAGAACAATGTAATGACGGGAGAAATGGTTGGAGTTCATTTGGTGGGTGAGATGACAAACAGTTCATGCTACCAAATCTAAAGCTACCTGGTCCTGTCTGTTCCTAGCCTGGTTCTTTACGACTTCCTTTCACTCCCCTGAGTTCCCCAACATGCTTTCAATAAATTATCCTATTACTTATACTTGCAAGAGTTGGTTTCTCAAAACCAAACTACTCCAGTTAGGTCCATGGTGCCAAACAACCCATTCTAATTGTAATGGCAGCAGGCCCAACTCTGGCCTTTCGAGACTGAGCCTTCCAGATGAAACATTCTCTGGGGCAAGAGGGACTAACTTCCAAATGAAATCTTAACTTATCAAATCCATGTTCAGGGATGGGGCTGCTGCTCTTTATAGAAAGAACCACTCATTCCTGCAAAGTTAGAAATTAATTTTTTAAAAACGATTCTGAAACCCCACGAAAAAGCCCCCAAATTTGCTAGAATCACCCAAGAATCTCTTTGGGAAAGCAAAAGAGTAGGGGTGGCTACGCCCCAGCAAGTAGGAACTAAGTGTGAGCCAACGGAACTAAGTTTGACTTGCAGTAGGGCTGTGAGCACAGCCAACTGTCTGAAGAATTTAATACCTTCTTCCCCCAGAGTTAAAGAGTCATCCGCGAGAGACGGGTGGATCTAAGCCTGTCTGAGACCCATCCACACATGGACTGATGGCGGCCAGAGGGAGGCCTGCCAGGGGTTGGGCTCCAAAAGGCTGAGGGCTCTAGAGTCAGAGGGTTTCTGAGGTTTAAGGAGTAGGGAAAGGCCTAAAATTCCAGAGGATGAATCCAAAGGGAGACCACATATGTAGAGCCAAAGCAGGTGCAGAAATCTCATCGTAGGTGTTTGGAGCCAGAGAGGTAAAAACAGACATAAATGAGCCAGGAGCAGTGAGGAAGGAGAGTGCCCTTGCTGAGTGACTGCCCAGGATGGCCATTTGTCATTTGCAACTTATTTTTGCAGGTTAGTCCATCTCTAGTACCTAGCTGGATGCAGGGTCACAAACAGAGCAGACAAATGAGGTAATAAAAGCAAAACATTCTAGGTGGAGATTCTAGGTGAATCTTCAGCAACAATCATAAACCTCAGTAACAATCATCCTCCCTTTCCCTGTGGAGGAAACCACCTGAGCCACGGCCTGGGGCCCAGCACCATCATCAGTCTAGACGCGGGTCCAGCAAGTGGGGGGCTCTGACCTCTGACACCAACCAGCTCTGTAACCTCGGGGATCCTTACATCCATTTTGAGCCTTAGTTTCATCTTCTGAGAAATGGGGATAAAGGTCTCTCTCCCGTTTACTTTGCAGAGTTAATGTGAAGATCAGATAAATCATAAGAATGCCTGAAATCATAAGAAATTGGAAAATGCTGCAGAAACCCAAGGGCATTATCAGGATCCTCTCTTTTAAACTGAAAAAAAATAATAATAATAATAATGCTTTTTATCTGCCACTCTTCTCTGCAGAGTTCAGTCTTCAAAACGCATTACTTTCTTGACAGAAACTGATACTTTTGCAGACCTCTGTTGGGAAATCAACTGAAGAGGTGAGCAAGCTTTGGCACAAACTATTTTTAATTTGGGAAATATGCTAATGCACTGATTCCCAACAGCTATCACTGTGACTTTGAAAGAGAAAATGTTCTTGGGTTGGATAGTGTGGCTGGCCTAGTAGCTGCTGCAAAGGGAGTCCCTCCAATCAACCCACAATGTCTGCTCAGTAGCACAGGAGTATCTGTAGAGGGGGCCATGGAGAAACCCCACACCCTATGGGTTCTGCTCGGGTTTGATCTTTTGATTGGATTTAGTCTGGGTTCTGGATTTAGTGTTGAGAGGACCTTCCTTGCACTGTGCATCTGAAAAGACAAAAACAATTAAGAGTATTAGTAACAATATCTTACATTTACTAAGAACCTTTAACTTGACAAAGCATTTTTAATATTCTGTTCTGCCCATGTAACTCCCCAGCTATAAATAGGCTATGTGCCAAAATTCAACTCTAATTGGTTATTGGGATTCAGAATTCCCAAAGTTTAAGATTAGTCAGTTAATTGCCTGAGTTCTGCATCCTGGAAAAGGGGCTATGTGGTCAAGGAGAGAAGATAAAAAGGAAGAACATTTCCTCTTTCCTTCGGGTTCAGATCCCAAGCTTGGCAAAAAAAAAAAAAGTCCATTCAAATAGAGCTGGTAATCCAGAAACCCCCACATCCATTCCTATAGCCCTGTTCTGTCTCCTGGTCTCTCCCTCCAGTCTCCTGCACACAGACCCTAGACAAGCTCATTCTGGGATTGGGTACAAGAGGCCTTCCACCAATCAAGCTTGCTCTCCCCGGCTGCTCCATGACACCAAGCTTCCCAACTGGAATCCTTCCAACTGGCTGCTGCCGCCTCCATCCTGCATTCCGTCACCTTGTTCGCAACCTTATGTTGCTTTCTCTCCACTCCTGTCTTTCCACTCCAGTCTATCCCATACGCCTCACTGGGCCAGAGACTAAGCAATATTCACCTTTACAAAGTTCCCTCTCAGTTCCTTTCTTCATTCACAGTTCAGAATACAATGATTTGTTAAATATTAAAACTACTGACATAAAACAAAAACAAATGTCCCCCTACTCTGTCCCTACTCTTCTCTTTACCTGGCAATCACGGGTTATTATATATAGTTTTCTATATCTTCACTGTACAACTCAGGAGAAAAGTCATCTTGCTGCATGAACTCATATAAATATGACATTGTATATGCCATATGAGTGGCAGATTGCTCCAGAGGTATCTATGTTTGTTAAGAGAGCTGACTACTAACCGTAAGAAATGCCTAATTTATGGATTTTCCAGAGAAAATGCTTTGATCTACATGGCTTGAAGATTGCCTTGCTTTGGAGCCCACTCCTCCAAGCTTTGTAAGGATTCTCATGCTCCATATATGTCCCCTGGCAATGACTCTGATTGGGGCATCTGGCAAGTGGAGGGTGGCTATGTTTGTGTAGATTATTGTTTGCAGGTTGGGGACTAACTGTATATAGTTATCCTCTGCCCAAAATTATTAAAACCTTTTAATTCTGGATTTAACCTAATCCCCAAGACCTTTATGGAAATGGACAAAAGTAAAACCATTCATTCTATATTGAGGTAACCCCTCCAGTTTAATACACAGGCCTTGTATATGGTTTGCCTTTTCTCTATCATCTGTAAAAAGTCTAGTTTTCAAATTATCAGGATAAAATTGCACCACTATATGAGATGATGCATTTTTTGAATCCATTAAAACTATCTCGTGTATATCCACACCTAAAGCTAAAAGATAGTCACACTTGGAAAAATTAACATTTTACCAGGTCAGAGTTAACAGGAGCAGCAAAAATGGGTTTAGACTCTTCCTCCAAACAGTGTTGATACGCCATACCTGGAACCAGAGCCTGAGAGGGAATGGCTAACTTACTGCTTTTCCTGGGGGCTTAGGCAGAGAGAGGGGTGACAGAGAAGAACAGAGAGTAGATGTCTTTCCAGTACTATCCCTTGCACCAGGAGTTGTCCTGTGAACAGACAGACTACAGGTTGAAGATGAAAGCAGAAATCAAAAAGTATTCTCCAATATTGGAGATACTGAGAACTGCTTCAAAGAAGATTACAGCACCAATTAGAGATAAGAAAATGAAAAGTGAAATTCCTTTTCCTATTAAATAATGAAGATTATTTTCATCACAGAAAATCAAATAAGTACCAAAGAAACAAAGAATTTTCCATATACCCCCAACAACCAGAGATAACATCTGTAAGTATTTGGGCACACTCTTGCTGGTCTTTTTCTAGCTTTAAAAAATTGTGTCATTTCCTGTTTCTTGCACTTGATATTTTAGTGTAAGAATTTCCCATGCCATTATAAACTCCTTGTAAACACCATTTTAGTAGTTGTATAATATTCAGGTATACTACTTTAGCATAATGTAATTTATTTAATCTTTTATGATATAGGTTGTTTCTAATTTTCCTATTGTATACAGTGATACACTGAACATCTCTGTGCATTAAATTTTTTTCTGTATTTAGGGTTATTTCCTTAGTCTAGATGCTCAAGAGCATTAGGTCAAAGTATATGCATGTTTTTAAGGCATATCCATAACTACCCTCAAATTATTTTCTGAAATAGTTATATTCATCTTTCCACCTACAAATATAATCTGTAAAACTAACTACTTTTCTCCTCTGACTAGTACTGTATTCTTTTGCTTTTAAAAATCTTGGCCCATTTTATAAGTAAAAATTGTATCTCATGTTAGTTTATTAGTCTACAGTTGTTAATCATTTGGTTTTCCTTCCTGTGATTTGTCTGAATGAGATAGTTACATAGTTAAGTGAACATGCATTCCTATGAGAAGTGTGAACTAAACATATTGATACTCTTCTAAAATATTTGTGACCCAATCAAGTTTTTCTTTACAAGTACAACCTAAATAAAGCACAGTGAGAAAGCAAGCCTCACCTTCCTTTAGAGATTTTGAGGAACTTTCTACTGGCCTGGTTTCTTCTTCTTCCTCTTCTTTGTCATCTTCTTCTCCTCTTTCTCTGCCTTTTTCTTCTTCTTCAGGCTCCTTCTCTCTAAACTTCATCAGTGTTTCCTCTAGCTCTTTATTTCTTATAAGGGTGTAATGTAGTTTCTCATTTACATCCTCAAACTTCTCCTCTGCTTCTCTGGCTCTGCTTTCAACCTCCCTGGTGTGGAGAAAGTCCAGATAAACACAACAGAATGTAAAGGTTCAAAAAGTATCTTTTCTATGTGGAAACTCATTGTCTAAAAGCAGTAGAATTAGAAAGACATATCTGAAGGGTACAAATAAGGTGGCAGGAGCCATGCTACTCAAGCTGTGTAGCAAAGCTCAGGCTGGAGGAAGACCCCGCAAAGCAGGGGCCTTCACAGCTGGCTCCCCCCATTACCCACCCTGATTTTGTTTCTCTCCATTATACTATTGGCTTTGCTTTTGCTTACATGTTTGCCAAAGACTAAGCTAACCTTTGATAAGCAGCACGGAAAGGAGGAGAACATAAACTTCCCAGAAGCTTTTCAGGACAGTGCTCCTGAAGAATAGAACACACGGGGGCCAGATGGTGATCTTGGCATAGAATACCGAAACCTGCAGGTAGCTAGTCAAACACTGACTACCCCATCTCCACCTAAGTGGGAATGCCCACCCCCCCCTTGTTTGTAATGCTAGTGAAATTAGTGATGAAGAGTTTTACAGGAAAATTAGAGAAATAGAGTTATGAGAGATTACTGAATAGAATAACCCTGTCTGACATTTAATCAATCTTCTCATGTTTTCTTCCATCTGCTACTTCAGTAGCTTCTCTTCTTCCTTCCTAATTACAGCCCTTTACTAGAATTCGTGCCTCATACATGAAATTACCAAGTACCATAATTCTTCCAAGTAGTAAAGATACCTCAAGACAAGTACTGGGCATAGAAGCCACTTATAAATCTGCAAAGAAGTGAAAAGTTAACCTTTTCAAAGAATATTGCTTCTCTCTCACTTACCAGCTTTACATCTCCCTGTATGGCCCTGGAAGATGGCTGGTTAGCCAGAGACGGATAAGATTCCTCAATGGAGGAACAACCTAAGACAGGCACAGTCGTAGGGAGGCCATCAGGTGAGAAAATGGGGCCAACAGAGGTGAGGCTTAGAACCTCACCCCCCCAGTTTTGAGAGAAATTGTCTACACCCATGGATGTTTTGTTGCCCTTGTCTGGCTTGGATTAACACCTAGTCTATAGGCACAGACCTGATCATCTACACTTGCCTTCTCACAGCACTAAATCATGCTATCTTTATCTTGCATCTACCTATGATGGAATAAATATTATGAGGGGATAAAATGTATCCATTGCATTAAAAATATAGATGATGATACCTGCCTAGATAACTGTGGCAGTGGGTGACCTGCACTTCACCCTGAGCTGATAGACTCCATAGTCATTGCTACATGCCTCATGTTTCTGCGGTCACATGCATTACTTAGAAACCGCTTTGCATAGAAACAAGAAACACAATAGAGTCCATGTTGCTAAGAAAAGTTTAGGTCAAGGAACAGAAAAAAGATCACCTATCTAACACTTGGCTAACCATGTATAGATTAGAAAGAAACAGAAAGAAAAAAGCTTTCCTATACTTGTTAATCAAAAGAACAAACAAAAAATAATCATATCCTTGTGCAAAATCGTATAAATAAAGATGTCATCGGCACTTTGTCGATAGACCTCTTCCAACTGACTCGGTGTCCTGTCTCTCCGTGCACCAACTCCTTCTCATCCTTTTGGGCAACACACCCCCCATGGGAGCTGAACTCCAGCAATAAGGGAAGCAGCTTCATCATTTATTAGCCAAGAACTGGGGGCCTGAGAGCTACTCTAGGTGGAAATATCAGAGGAGTAGTCATGTTGCATTTTGAGCACAATATATTTATCATTTCTTAGTGAAATCTGACTTTCGGGCATTTGGAAGTTCCGGTCAATAGCCAAGGAAGCCCTTTCAGTCATTAATTTGGGCTTCTGTTCATTGATGTGATCTAACAAACTAAATCCAACAGTGTCCCATCTTTCCCAACAGCTTTAAAAACAGATTTTAAAATCAAGAAAACCAGTATGAGATGGTCTTTAACTATGAAGCACATGTTATATGTTTGCGTGGCTATGCTCTTCTCTTGACATTCTCTATACTGCCCTTCCTCTCTTTGGGTGACGTAACATTCTTTCTTGTACATGGTGGTTTCTCCCAGTTACATTTATTTCTCCAGTTCATCTCTTAGAAACATACTGAGTTGTGTGTTCCCAACACCCCACCCTCCACATACCCCACTGTGGGTGAGGATGGATGTTCCTACAAGAGCAGTGTAGTTCACTGACTCTATCAGATTTGGAGAAACCCATTCCACCAGCGAGGACAGAGCAAGAACCAAAGATAAGCTGAGAAGTGCGGATTTCTCAGCCAAACCTTCTGGCCAGCAATCTTTGTCCCCTTACCATTGCCTCCTACTTACATTAACTTTTCCTGCATGCATTCAATTATGGCCATTGCTTCAAGATACTTTGGGGCCAGTGTACCTTGATTAGCTGATTCTCTCTGGCAAAGGAGATATATGCAATGAATGGCTGTCCCAACAGTTAATACTCTACCTCTTCAGGATGTTCTGGACCAAAGTTTTCAGAGTATTTTTTGCTACTATCCATATGATATAGATGATTAACTGCACTCTTAACATAAAAAGGAATAGGGGTTAACTGTGGCTAAATAACATATCAGCTTCCAAATTATTCATACTACAGGTGGACATAAATTTAATTAGTTATAAAGAAGCAGGAAAAATAGTATCAACAAAAAGAAACAGGGAAAGAAGAAAAGGTTCAAAAAAAAAGAGAAGGATAAACACTTTTCTCTAATAAATCAAGTTAAGTATCAAGGAAATTAACTACATTGTCTTATTAATAATTTATTCCACTAAGAATATAACACTGCAAATCCAGTAAGATTTTTCAGTTCCTTAGGGAACTTAATATGTAGGCAGTGAAAAATATGAAAAAAAATTAAACCTTTTCATTTATTTTGACTCTAAATGTATTCTAGGGAACAAAATAAGAGGAAGGTAAAAGAAAATTTAGAAGACAAATGTTATAAACTTATTTTAAAAAGAGCACTATGAGACTTTCTCAGAACTGTGTACTTTTAAAAATCTCTTTTGTCCAAGTTTCCCAGTCAGAGGCAAGTAAAAGGCAAACCACGTATTATAGCTGGAAAGGGAGCTCTAAGAGGGTAGGCCCTGCCAGAGTCAGAATCATCTAGAGGGTCAGAGCAAAACCCTTATCTAGGCCTCCTTGTTGTCAGTCACATAGTCCATTGCACTACGCTAGCTTCTTCTAAAAGAAAAGAAAAGCAGGAAAAAAAAAACGTGTTAAACATTTTCACTTTTCCTCTAGCTCTTTACTCTCTTCTTATTTTCCCAGTCACATCTTTTTTTCTTTGTTTTGCTTCTCCTTGGGTAGTTTGTTTGAAAAGTAAATGCTATCATTGTGCAGCCTGGAGCAGCATGTGACATGGCTCTGCTACTGTTTTCTTCTTGGAATCCAAAAGGCAGGTTTTCTGAGCAGAGGCCTCTAGAACCGGAATCCCACACATGGTTTGTAGCTACATGAAACCATATAATTCAACTAACTATTGGTGGAAACCCAAGTAAACCAGGACTGTACTGTGTACATTTGAGCCTTCTGACTCTCTCATTTATTCAACAGATATATATTTAGTTACAATGAGTGAGGATCAGTCTCTCTGGCAAGTATAGATTAATGTTTTGTGTTCCATTTCAAACCCTTCAGTAGGAAATCCCCATGGTCCCAAGGCTGTCTGTTGGGCTTCTAGCATTATCGCATCCTGTACATATGCTGGGTGGCAGCCTCCCCCACGTCACCCGCACGCTGCCACAGATGTCTCAAGGCTGATCACAAGCACTGTGATACACCTCTTCTCATATTCCTAACCTCCCTCTAGCTTTTATGCTCCTTCGCCCCCTGTGTAGTAGAGACAAACACAGGCCACATGGTTCCTTGTCTGTGCTGACCTGCTGCAGCTCTGAGCTAGGCTCTCTGACCCCAGTTCTGCCTTCGGCCTCTTCGGCCTGGTCTTCCTGGGACTTGTCCCCACCAGTGGGCTTTGCATTGGACGAGCACCTCTGGCTTGGAACGACCTCAGGCATCTGGCTCCCGGCCAGCTCCTTGGGATCCAACTCTCAGCACTGAACTCCTAGCCGGACATAGTGCTCCTGTCAGCTTTGGACATAGTTTCTGAAACCGCCAATTCCACAGGGCCCTTCCCTGTGGCTGTTTTAAATGGATAAATTAGTCATTGCTTTTAATACTTACACCTAGGGTGCATGTGAGAGGGAAATGAAATCCTTTAGGGGCCTCCTTCAGCCCAATAATAGAGGTAAGAACAGAATGTCTAATCTTGTGTTCAAAATACTTCTGATCCCCCAAGTCTGGCCCCTGTTCATTCTCCCAAAGGATCTCCTATCTTCCTCAAACACTTACGACTCTACAGACAGCCAGGACCTATGGTTTGAAGGTGTGCCTGAAACAGGTCGGTTCTAATGTCTTAGTTGTGCGGGTGGCTGAGCTGTTGGCCATCCAACTCAGCAGCCCTGTGGCAGCTCTGAGCACATTTGGTGGCCTCAGGGACAGCTTGCTGCAGCTAGCCATCCTGTATCTCCATCAGTCAGCTGGAATGTTCCAGAACTCAGGCTGCTTTCCCTACAGGGACAACATTAGAATGATTCTGATTCAGAGAGGGCCACAGATCGCTGTGGAACAAGTTCTCAGAGCTGACTGACAGGTTGCCCCTGAAGACAGAGTGGCAAAGCCAGAGTGAACCAGGCACAGAGCCAACTTGGGGAGCTGTGCCTGTCTGCGGCACAGCAGGACATGTTTTGTACATGGTGCATCAGGAATTCCCACAAAGCCCTGACTGCCAGCTAACTGAGGAGAGTACCGACCAGCGGGTCATCCAGCTCCCTGTCAAGGTGGTGCCAGGGCATCAGGTCGCAGTAGGAATGAGGCTCTGGGTTAGCAGGCCAAGCACTTAGCCTGCCCAAGCTGGTGGTGACCCACTGCCACTCCTGTGGAGATACCATTCATATCTCAACCCCCAGAAAACCCTGTACTGGAGTCATTTGCAGGAAGGGATACTAAGAGTAAATAGAATTCTCCATGCTCAGGTCCCTAGCTTCTAGTGGTCTGGAGATACTTCTCCCTAGAAGCCGTTCTACAGCTCAGCTCCCAGAGACACAACAGGTTAGACCTGCAGACACGAGGTTTCCCCTTCCCTATCCCTTCCTGCCTTTTTCTTTCCTTCCCTAGTGTCAATTAGATGTACTGCCTCCTGGGAGTTGTGTTTTTAGACCAAAAAGAAAGACTGCAGCTGCCCAATAGGTCTGGTGCATGGGACACATGTCCCTGCTAATTTGTTTTTGTTTTTTAGGACCAGAGGCTAAGTGTCTGTCAAAAAGACTAAAGGAAAAACAAACAAGCGAATGACCTACAATGAAAATTTTAAAACTTTAAGCTGCTCCCAAGGAGCCCCAGTATCTTTGTGAATGGGAAGAGCACAGAACTCAGGCCGTCCCAGCTCCACTCAGCTTGCAGTGCATACAACTGTCTTCAACAGTTCTCCCTCTCCCCCACTTCCTGCCCTAAACCTCCGACCTCATGGGCCAGTTGAAGGAATCCTTGTTCTCTGGGTACTAACATCCCCAAATATCAACCGTGTCTTCTGGCCTAGCACAGTTAGGCCCTTTCTGTTTGCACACCTGGTGCCATGTTCTACTACCTGTGCAGTGTTCCAGCTGCCAAACCAGAGGAAAAAAAATTCTTCTTTACCCGAGGAACTTGCAGGTAATTATACATCTGGATGACATTTTGGTCCACTTCCCAGACCTTTTGGGAATTTGGTCTTCAGTGATCTATAGGGGTAGCATTTGCAACTTTTCAAAGCCTGGAGGTAGACTTCCTGGTGGGCTAGCACATGGCTTATTTCACTGAGCATAATGTCCTCCAGCTCCATCCATGTTGTTGCAAATGGTAGGATTTGTTTCTTTCTTATGGCTGAATAGTATTCCATTGTGTACATGTACCACATTTTCTTTAGCAATTCATCTACTGATGGACACTTAGGTTGCTTCCATATCTTGGCTATTGTAAAAAGTGCTATGATAAACATAGGGATGCATATGTCTTTTTGAATCTGAGAAGTTGTATTCTTTGGGTAAATTCCAAGGAGTGGGATTCCTGGGTCAAATAGTATTTCTATTTTTAGTTTTTTGAGGAACCTCCATACTGCTTTCCACAATGGTTGAACTAGCTTACATTCCCACCAGCAGTGTACTGTATCAGATGGAATGATGGCATCCCGCAGCAGGAGCGCCACACCATCAAAGAGAGCCCTCGGTTTCACTCCAGGCTACATGTTCCTGTTTTCCTGTCTGCTTCCTGCCTGGCTGGGGGTGGGTGGGGGGCCTGACACACAGCCTGGATGGCAAAGCAGGGTTCTTATCTCCAGGGAGCAAATCTGAGGTAGGAGGGTTTGGGGTGGGGCAAATAAAATGGTGCTACCATTTATCTCCCTTTCTGGTACATGTCTCATGACACTGCTTGCTCTTACATCTTTGCCTCACAGACTTATGACTGACATATTAACATATTATTTTAAAAAGGCATTTTCTTGAAAAGGCATTACTTGGGGAGAATGTGATTGTGGGCCCCTCCCCCACCATGTACCACTCTTACCCCCATTTGGCCAGCCCCTGCCTAACTCTCCACATGGTTTCTCCCACCACTTCCTACCAGAGTTGGAGCCTATTTCCTACAAACTCCTTGGACACATATCCCTGAATCTGCCTCTACTTTGGCCCATGCCTCCACCTGAGTGATCTAGCTGTGATCCCTACTACCCATGCCACTGCTCCCCACCCCTGCATACACCCACCCCTGCCTGCTCAGATGGGTCAGACCTCTAATAATGAATGGCTGGGGTCTAGAAATTTGATGAAATTCCCTCCACTTCCCCAAGAAAATGCACAACATGAAAGTACAGACAAAATGTTGCATACCATTTTAGGAGATTCATGGAAGGAGTGAAGCCTACCCATAGACTCCTAAAATCATGGCAGCCTGTACAGACAGAGATGCTAACCCAGAGCTGACTTGTCTAGAGTCTACCGTGGTCCTAGAACTTCTGGTGAAGGATTTCAAATCTGCTTTCTGCTGAGCTTCAATAACCAAGGTTTCCAATTTCTCAGTAATTCTTATGATTGGAGGTAGGTGCTTATCGCAGCTCTCAAGAGCATCCACTGAATGAATAAATTTAAAAATTGATCAAATATTGACCAAGATTTTGTCAAATTAAGGAAAAGGATGAAATGTTGATCTTAAAATGAGTTTAAAGAGGAAAAGGAGAAGTTTTGTAAAGTTATGGTGAACAAAATGGGTTTTCCAGGAATGATGCTGTGAGGAAAAAAATCTGGAAAATATACTACTTAGAAGAAATATACTACTTTGGAGAAGCTAAAAGTTATATTATATTCCTATCATTTGTACATAATATTACATATCCCAGCTTTTTTCACTCGTTTTGAATTTTCCAGTTGGGGTTCAGATACATACCCAGGAAGACAACAAATCTGTTCCAAATAGAGGTTTGGAATGAACATTTTCATCTTTTCCAATGAATCGAATGAGTTTTTCTTCCGCTGCAGATACCGAAGGTTTCTAGGGCACAGAAATACCAAGGAGCTGTCAGGGAGCTGGTGTGTGTGTGACCCAGGTGGCATGGCAAGCTGCTGGTGCCATGTCTGAAGCTTTAATGCTTCATTTGCTTTGATCATTCAACAAGCAGTTTTGAAGACTTACAGCAAACACTGTGTGAGAAGTAGCGATGAGAAAGTGGGGACAAGGAGAGAGAACTGTGATAAAAACAAAGGATTTCTTCTAGACCTCAGGAAATCACAGTAGGAGAGACAGGCAATAAGATGATTATGGCATACGTGCTTCCTGCTAGCATGGAGCTGTGTTCCAAGAGCTGTGGCACCCAGAGAAGGGCCTGCATTCTGTCATACACTCAGGGAACCCTGTTTTTATAGAGAAAATGATATTGGAAGGCTGAGCAGGAATTTATACAATAGAGAAGAAAGAGCCTGAACTAAAAGGAAGGGAAGGGTTACCCATTTAAAAGGTATGAGAGAATTTAGTGGCCAAATACTAATGTTTTCCATTTATTTTGTGCCTTCTGTATGCCAAGCACTGCACAGAAGTAAAACGAAATGCGGGTCAAAAGAGGTGTGGCTGTTGTACAATGTCTTTGTTCTGTTGTCCTGCGTGTACAGTGAGCAGAGGACCTAGGTTATACCTCGGTCCCATACCACAGCCTGGGCTCACACCGACCTTTAAACTCTTCACAGAGAAGAAACATCAGGGAAGTAAGTTCAGCCAGTTTACAGAGCGGTAGGTGATCGTGAGTTCTGAAAGCTGAAGACAGTGGCAGTCAGTCTAGGAATCTGGAAGGACTCTTATGCCACTCACCTGGGTTTGAATGCTTGTTCTGCCACTTACAGCTATATGATTTTGGTTAAGTCAGTTGAGCTTTCTGAGGTTCAATTTTCTTATCTATAAAATGGGGGCATTAATATTTACCTTGAATTTGTGTCATGCAGGTAAGAGATCACATGTGAAAGCATATAGCTCATGGCTGGGATTTGATTATTGGTGGTTATCATTATATTTTCATTATTATTATTTTTATTACAAGTGTCCAGGAAGGGCTTTTATTAGTACAATGCCTAGCAGGGGTGGAGACAAGGTAAGGAGAAGAGAGGTGTGGAGATGGGCCCAGGAGGAGGCGGAAAAGGCAGCTCAGAATGGGAGCCAAAGTGGAGACAAGTCTAAATTACCATTTGAAAATTGGCAATAAAGGGATAAAGAAATGGCATTAGGGTGAAAGGTGCCTTGTTTAGTTAACAGGAATATAGGTGTGAATGAGGCCAGTGGGAAATATCTGGATTTAAAAAGGAAAAAGGACACCCCTTCCTAGGGAAGGAAGAGATGTGTATCTGCAGGTATGAATTACATCTATCTTCATATATAGAAAAAAGGAAGGACATTGAAGAGTTTACTCCAGATAACCTATTTCTATTTTCAAAGTGTATATATACACACATGCATACACACACAGAGACATACACACACATATTCTTGAAAATATAAAAGGAAAGGAAAAAATACTACTAAATGGTCTTACCTCTTCTGCTTTCTCTTCTTCCTTTTCCTCCTCAAGTTTCTCATCCTCCTTACTATCTTCTTCATCCTCTTTAGAAGACTTGTCTGTTTCAGGTTGAATAAATTCTTTTACAATGTTCTATGAGAATAAAACAACATTATAATTATATCTCAGTATATATAAATATTTTAGTACTATATTAGCAATTAGCCATTCACAAATATTTAATGATCACTAACCCTGCAGCTAGGCCGTGTGCTTGTGATAGGAATACAAAGGTTAATAAGAATGGCCCCTGCCCTTAAGGGGCCTGTCATTTAGTGGATCAGGAAATGGATACAGGTGGTCTCATAGTAGGACTATCTACTCCAGAGCTGGTAGTGGATGGGGGTGAAAGAGAGGGTTAATCAGAAAGGTTTCCTGGAGGACATAATGTCAGACTTCTTCTTGATGGATGAGAAAGGGAAAAAAGATGGCACTAGGTTCTAGGCAGAGGATGCTGTATGCATGCACAGGACCGGTTCTGAGAACAAAAGTAGTTCCAAAGGACAGACACCAGGAGCAGATGGACAAGGGCACCACCACAGAGAAAGGGCTAGAGTGTCATGCCAGGGAGATTGGATTTTATCCTGAAGGCAGTGAGGTACCAACAACTTCAGTGATATGTTTTGCATTGTAAGACAATCACTCTAGAAACAGAGTAAATTTAAAGAGGAGGGAGGAAGGGAGGAGAGAGACAGAGGAAGAGGAGGGGAAAGAAAAAGACAAGAGGAGGGACTGAACAATACAGGGTTGCAGGAATGAAGAGGATGACAATTCAAGAGATATTTAGGAGGTAACTTAGGGATTGATTGATGGAGATGAGATGGTTAGGGGAAAGGAAGCCTTCTTGAATGACCCCTGGTGCACGGTTTAAGCCACTACTTTGTTGTCAATGCCTTTCACAGAGATAATGAACCAAGTTGGATAAGCAGGTTTGGGAAGAAAGATGAGCTTAGAGTAGGCTGTGTGAGTCTGAGGTGCCACTAAGACATCCAGGTAGAAATACCCAGTAAACAGCTGGATATATGAATTTTCAGTGTAGATGGAAGGGATTTGGGCTAAAGGTAAAGATTTACCAGTTATCTGAATTTAATTAAAACTGAGAAGGTAAATTATATCACCAAAGGAGAACATGTGAAGTGGGTAGAAGTTGAGGCCTTCACGGGAACCGAGTCTCACAAAGGGCTTGAGAAGAGGAACCTGCAAAGGAGGCCAAAAGTTTCCTCAAAAGTATGAGAGCACTGTATGTCAACGACACCTTAATTAACTAAATAGGTAGGTAGGTAGGTAGGTAGGTAGATAGATAGATAACAAATAAATGAATAAGTTAGTATGAGAAGGCCACCAGGAAAGCTAAAAAAGAAGAGAGGAGGAGTCAACTGTGCTGTATACCTCAAAAGAGTCTACATGAATATTGGCTGGAGAACGTTCTCCAGATGTTTAATGGCACTGTTTGTAAAACAAAAGCTAGAAATAAGCTCAGTGCCCACAGCAGTATATGCGTAAATAAACTATGTTATAAACCATACAAGATACCGTACAATTCTGATTTATTCTATAGAAATTTATACATGATACAGAAATATAATCAGAATATGTTAGGATAGTTTTCCAAAATGAAAGTACTTTTTTCCTGTTAACACACTATTGCTATACAATATTTGAACAATACAGAGAAATTAAGAATCTCAACTCTTAGAGGTAACAATTTCTATCAGTTTTCTGAATATTCTTCCAGACTGCTTTATACACTTATAAATATTTTAATATAAATGAGAAAATGTTATATTTTATAATCTTATTTTCTCAATATCATGGGTGATATATTTTTATATCACTACATTAACATCTACTTTATTTGCACAAAATTCCACTACATGAATATATCATAATTTATTAAACCAATCCCCTATTGATCAATATTTATACTGTTTCCAGAGTTTTGCTATTATAATGTTGTAATTAACATCCTTATGCAGTTATACATTAGAATGATCAGAGAAACTACAAAGTTTTATTTAACCTGTTTAAAGAATAAGAGATCTGAAATATGAGTAAAGAGAGAAAGATTACAAAACTGATCAGACCTGAAAAGAACCAAGTAGAAATTCAACAATTAAATTTGAAAACTCAACAGAAAGGTTTAGACTAAACTGAAGAGCATATTAGTTGAAGAGATAAGACAGAATAAATTATTCAGAATGCAATGCAGAAAGGTAAAGAGATAGAAAATATGAAAGAATGTTAAAAGGCATGGGAGAAAAATTTTAATAGATATCCATCAGAGTTCTTAGAAGGAAAGAAAAGAGTGAATATAATAGAGACAAATTAGAGGAGATGATAACTGAGAATTTTCCATATCTAATGAAAGATACCAAGCCAAAGATTCAAGAAACCAAGAGAATCCCAAGCAAAATTTAAAAAGAGAAGAAAATCCTCACCCACATGCATCAGAAATGCACTCGCATCAGAAATGCAAAATCAGAAACTGCAAAATGCCAAAGACAAAAAGATCTTAAAAGTAGCCAGAAAGAAGAGATGGATTACTTTCAAAGAAACTGACAGTTGAATTCTCAATTGTCAGTTTGGTAAAAACAATATCCAGAAAACAGTAGGAATAGTATTATCACTGTGTTAGAAAATTATGTCATCCTAGAATTATATACTCAGGAAAAAAAGTGTTAAGAATGACAGTGAAATAAAGATATTTTCAGACAAAAAAAAATTGAGTTTGCCTCCAGTGATTCCTCACAGCTAAATCAGAAGGAAAGTAATCCCAGGTGGAAGGTCTGAGGTGTCTGAAGAAACAATAAAGAAATTAAACAATAAATCAATTATAGTCACTAAAGGCATTCCTGCTAAAGTTAGAAGCAAGAAAAGGATACTTACTATTCAGTACTATCTACAATTGAATTGGAAGAATTGTTCTATGCAATTAGATAAGAAAATGAAATTAGAGGCATCATAATTGAAAGAAAAAGGTAAAATTATCTCTAGGTGTAGATGATTTGGTTACATATCTGGAGGAACGAAACAGAGACTACTAAAAACAGTAAGATAATTTAGTAAAGTCACATTGTATAAAATTAAAATACATGTACAATCCAAGGAGTTAGGGNTACTATCTACAATTGAATTGGAAGAATTGTTCTATGCAATTAGATAAGAAAATGAAATTAGAGGCATCATAATTGAAAGAAAAAGGTAAAATTATCTCTAGGTGTAGATGATTTGGTTACATATCTGGAGGAACGAAACAGAGACTACTAAAAACAGTAAGATAATTTAGTAAAATCACATTGTATAAAATTAAAATACATGTACAATCCAAGGAGTTAGGGGTGCTGACCTCCCATGCAGTTGAAAATGTGAATATAAGTTCTGATACCCCCAAAACTGAACTACTTATAGCCTACAGTTGACCAAAAACCTTACTGATAAGATAAACAGTCAACTGATATGTATTTTACATGTATCATATACTGTATTCTTACAATAAAGGAAGCTAGAGAAAAAAAACTTTTTTTAATTGTCACAGATCTCAAAAATTTTTTCCAGCAAATTTATTGAAATATACACAAAATTGTTAGGCAGAAAGAGATGAATGGGATGAAAAGAGGGTGGAACCCACCAAGAACTCAGGTAGTTAATCAGATTAAACCAGAGAGGTGGAAAGGACTTCCACCCTTTGCAATGTGAGTTCATTCCACAGGCTCTGAATCTGGGCTGACCTGGAGACTTGCTCCAGCTAATGCAGGTGAGATAGCGCAGAGACACAGGACAAGCATCGTAATTAATTTTCCTAAAAAATACTGAGATTAGCATAATAAGAACAGGAGGGACTTATATTAAGGCAAGGCAAGCAGTCTTAACTGATGTGTTACCAATATTTTGGGAGTAGCTACTATCTTAGAGAGGAAAAAAAGGTTTGTCCTGTGAAATTACCTAGAAGACAGGCTATATAGACAATGACATATTGTCTCTCACTGGAGATAAACATCATGAGACCACCTGACAAGACTACACCCCCAACCCTTTACCTTTATCCCATTCTTGAAACTCCTTAAAAGACAGAATCCCAGCTTTTGGGTGTGCCTCCTCCTCTCTGAGGTTGCCCACACTTCCCCTTCTTGGAGTGTGTATTTTCAAAAGACTTTTTACTACTCAACTTACTACATTTTGTCTCTGTGCTCCTTCAGTGGTGTCTTTATCACTTTGCTATTCCATTCTATTTTCCAGACTTTAAGCATAAGTCTTCACTCTCTCTGCCCTACTCCAGATAAGCAGGGAAGGGCTACAGAGAGCTCTGATTTGAGCTCGCAAATTCCTGTTGCCTGGGTGACCCAGACAGAACTGTGGCTATACAATCATGCTCCTTAGTAGCCTGCCTGAAAATCTCCTTTCTCTGCTTTCAGGAAGTTCTCAGGACATAATCTCACTTCATCCAGTGCTCTGTGGCTCCCCCAAATTGTGGGGTGGTAGAGACTTAGTTTCCATGCCATACAGATTCAAGTGGACACTGGACGCCTAGTTACACTGGCTTTAGGAGTTGTCAAGGGATTTGCCCTATGCTGAGCAGCAGTTCAATGAGTTTCCCTTTCCTTCCTCTGTTTTTTCTTCCTCTCCACTTGATTCAAGTACACATGCCTTTATCTACCTTGACTCTAGCCTGTTCCTCCCACAGAGTACATTTAAATAAAACTTTCATACTGCTT